GCTAAGCCCCAGCTTGGTAACAAAATCCGAAGCGAACACTACCGAACTGCACCTCCTATGGACACTTGCACTAGTCACGTTGGATCTCTTCAGTGGCTATGGGTTCCGTTCAATGGTCCGAGAGCTAAGGGCGGTCGAGGCTATCGACTTAGAAACTGGGTTCGACAGGCCAAGTCTGAACGTTGATGCAACTTGATCGTTTCCGAGGGGAGCATTTAGACTTTGATAAACTGTGAACGCCACCGTTATGAAGTTTACCGTTGCACTGGTAGAAATTATGTATATTATATCGTGAAGAGATATACGGCCTATTTAAGCACTCATAAGAGTCAGATTACATCCAGCAACAAATCGAACACCATGAGCTCTTCGAAACGTCCTTTGTCTTCTCCTACATTCCAGTCCTCCAAAAGACAACAGGTACACCGAGAGACTGACGATGAGTTGCCGGAGCAAATTCACGATCAACCACCTGAGAAAATCATTTCGGTAGACGGAAACAAGGTTATATAGCCTCCCACTTATTGTATAACTATGCTGATTGATTTAGGCTCCCTCTCCTTCAGCAAGCCTCACCACGGAGTTTGAATACATATTGCGTCATCACAGCTCCCTCGCGGCTCCCATCGTCGGCCTTCTTGGCTTGTATCTCTGCTTGTGGAAATGCTACGTTGTCGATTCTGCATTGAAGATACGACTTGAGGAGGAGCAACGTCATCTTCAGAGGTCAATCGAGTGGCTGACTGCCGAATGCGATGTACTGCGCCAGTGCTGCAACGATCAGGCTCTGGAGCTGTTTGGCCGCAGGCAAGCTGTGGCTGCCTTGAATGATGGGATTGTCGAGGTTTTGAAGGCGAGCGAGAAACGCGCCTTCAGGATGATTGAGTTAAAATAGTGTCTCTATGGCACGATAAAGGAGAATACGAGAAGAGCTGGTTGTTTTTTGGCGTCCGTTGTGTTTGCGAGTCTTATTCTCGGTGAGCGATCGCTTACTTTTGCTATAGCCAACATCACTTGTCCATGGCTTCTGTGTGCGAGTGTCTCTGCAAGTGAATATGTCGGCTACGACATGTTCTCCCAGGTTTTAATCAGCTTCTATTCCATTCCTATGTCCCAAGTCCTTCCAGTTTTCGACATAAATCTAATTTTATATTCCAAAATATTGTTTGTTCCATTTTAACTCAACCCGTAAAGGGAGGCTTGTGTTGGGAATTGTATCTCTTCTTCCACTACCACTATCCAGGATCAGACCCTTCCCCTTGGACACTTTGCGGCGGATCAAATCTTAATCACACTTTAATGTGCAATAATTGATTTCAGCCACGGGCGATTTCTTCAACAACAATAGCATAGCTGAGGCTTCTGTGAACCCTTGCTGATATAGTCGGTTTATTCATTGTTTATATCATTTACGGTGACCCCTCGCAATAAAACGCTACTGTAGAGACTTCAAAAGTGGAAGGGTCTGTTATAGTCTTATCATCATCTTGAATCTCCCAAGATATCTCCTACGATGATCGTTCCACTGCCGCCATGTCCCTTTCACTCCCTATCATTCACTGTGCTTTGAGCTAGGACCCCCTCGGAGTACCCGTCCCACTCCTTAAGAATATCAGACAGTCGAATCCGAGATAACTCCAGTGCCTGGTCAAAGAATTGCAACCGAGCAATTTGATCATCGTGACGCGACTGCATTTTGTTCCTCTCGTCGGTCAAATGTCGGTTAGTCTCTCGTAGACCGTGATTCGCTTTGGCCAACTTGCTTCCCTCTATATGCTTCGATGTGCACGACTCCCACAAGCGCCGATACAGTCCGACGATTCTCGCGGCTTGGAAGGCAAGTTTAGGGTCTTCGCGTTCGAGCCGCGCGAGAGCTTCCATAGCAAGCTCAAACGGCTGATCCGTCAAGGGAGGTCTCCGTGGATCCTCGGGCTGTCAAGCAGTGGTCAGCTCAATCATCAAAATGGTCGTGCTTTCCCTACTCACAGCAGGTGGGTCAGAGGGTGGGTCGACCGTAGTCTGCAGGTTGTCTTGATTCTCGGGGACAGGTTTGCCGATCGGAGGATGGTCATTTGTGAGCTGATCCTCCGCATGGTCTTTGACAGGTCGGGCATGAGAAGCGTCCATATTGGGTCGAGCGTGATCGTGGAAGATTCTTTTGGTGCTTCGCGAGGTTGCACGAGAAGTTATATCTTTTTCGATGTACGTTTCAGTGAACAGAACTAGAAATTGTTCCAAAATAATGACTATACATACTATTAAGCGTATTATTAGGGTGGTCAAACGGTGATAGTGTGAATCAACAGACTTATTCCCCGGTGAAACGATCACCTTCCCCGCTCATGCTCACGCAGCTGCGCATGATTGAGGCCAGTTGAATCAGATTCTTAACACGGCTTAAGGCTTTAGGAAAGCGGATCTACTTGCAACAGCTGCACGTCCCGTATAGTACAGCGTTCCCTAGCTGCTACTTCTTCCTATGTTCAATACCTTATCTTGCGGACTTGCCTTTCACCTATATCTCCCTGTTCGGGCCCTGATGTTCGTGTCTGCAGAGATTGTTAAATCTGCCCATCAGCCGTATGCATTCACAGGATAGGACAGCAACCCCATCAGCGGAGGAGAATGGTGGAGAATACCACAGCGGTGAGTTCTTATGGCCTCCTCGTAGTAACTCAATGACATCGCTAAACAAGCCATGCAGAGTGGAACATTTTCTATCCTCCGCAAGAATCCGGTCAATGGCCTAGCCTCCACGCCGATTACAGCCAAGTCCCAGTAGACTGGGATTTCCAAAGCACTACCTGGCCCGATAGGGAATGTGTCATATCTGCTCCTACACAGCAAGATCAACTTCATAATATGGACTGGTTCAAAGATGGGTCCGTCCTCGAATCGGAGGTCGAGGTTTTCACGAGAAATCCCACTATCGAGCCGCCATACAGCGTGATCAAGCCAAATATGAGCGACAAACCGCCCGACGGTGGTTGGAGGACGACGTCCTGGCAAGACTTTGAAGAATTCACACGCCTCGTCTGTGACAATCAAGGACACTCTAGCCACACCCTCAATAGCATACCATGGCAGCTTCCGCGGCGGCAATTCAAGTGCAGCGTTGCGAAGTGCAGCAGTCGCTTTCGATATTTCAAAGGCCTGCAGCGTCATTTGTCCGGCCACTTGGCTGAGAAGTCATATGTCTGCTGGGTTCCGGAGTGCCAGCGCAGCTTCTCGCGTCGCGATAACCTCAAAGCCCACTATGCCACACATGGAAGACAAGGAGGCCGCAATCGCTACGTGGCTACTCTTGATCGGACTAGCCCTGCATACGATCCTTGTTTCCGCGGACAGCTGACATCCGATGGCTGGCCGGTCAGAGAGGTAAACATGGGCTTGCCCGATATTTGAACTGGGTTTGCCATGAGAGCAGGGGGATTGAAGTATTTTTGGTGACGCGTTGTGTTAAAGACGGACGCTAGGGGCGATCAGCGAAAGTGCGGAAACACGACATGAATCCTGGCGACGCTACGCGAGCCCTCTCTACTTGGGCGAACCGGCTTTGGATGTCACGTTTGAGCAGTCAACAACACGACACGGAAGTGAAGACTGAATTGAAGACCGAATGGCTAGACCCATGAGGGGAAACTGATCAAACGCAAAATATCTAAATATCGCTCGGAAATGACGACGCGCGGAGGATTCGAACGCGCGACCCCAGACCCCAGTGAAGAAGATAACCACTAGGCCAAAAAGTATTACAATCGTTTCAACTCATGTTGTTAATGGAATTAGACTTTCGCATGTAGCCCCGATCACCTCCGAGGTCCAAAAAGTTCCAGAGAGGTTTTGGTTCTTATTTGGTCTCGATTTGGGCTTATTCAGGTAAAGAAAAGCGGTTCAGAAAGGCAAAGTTTGTTCAAAGAACGCAGTCCTGCAAATTGCTGTGCGCCTGCGACCACCCCAAGGTGTTGGTGTTGTGTAGAATATGCATTCGTGTCAATATAGGGCAAGATATATTTTGTCCATGTAGATAGAACGGATTAAAGTGTCATGCAGCCACGAATCCACGTATTACCCACCACACGACAAGAAACATGTGAGCCATTCAAAATTCAAGAAAAAAGACCAAACAAGTCGCCGTTCAACAATTTAATGGATCCCATCGGACCGGTAAAGTGTCTGTTGTGGTTCCTAATGTCAGAAAGCGCGACCGCAAATTAACACCGCTGGGTCCTAATTGGCAAAGCCGCAACTCGTATCACCCGTGTTTATTTGCGAAGTGTGAGCTGCCAAATATTCCAGTCTACCGCCTCAACCCTGGAATAGTCACAGCACAGAAATGTAATTTTGATGTTGCGAGTGCTGTTGAGTCAACAAGTGCTGCGGTGAACAAAAAGCCCTGTTGGAGGATCGTTTGCAACCATAATCAATCATTGGATTGACCGTCACCGTTGAATTATGTATGTGGGATACAATGTTTAGCAGCCAAGTACGACCTCACAAAAGCGATCCTGACAAGCCGGTCCCAACCTGCCTGCTGACGAAAAGTGCGTAATGCACACTGCAAATGAAAAAGTACAGTCAGCATTCAAAAGTATTTGGAACATGCTACATGCCCCACGTATTTTTCTGCTGGCAAAACCACCAGCGTCACTCAATATATTAATGACTAGAACGGATTTTCTCTATCTAATGACTTTACTCTACACTACGAGGTTTCAATTTAGCTAGATTAACAATTTAGTGAATACTTCAAATAGATTCACTAGATTTGGCTGCTTACATAAGGTCGTAGGTAGCTACTAAAGGTAGGCGGTGTTAGAAAGCGGTACGGGCGGGAAGTACTGTGTTCCAAATACTTTTGAACGGCCACTGTAACTTGTGTAGGAGGGGTTTTGTGCCTAACGGGCAAATACGTGTGGCGCCAGGGATGAGCCTGGTTCACCGCCTGGAGATCACAGTTTCCAACGTTTCAGCACTTCCGTTTATCAACGCAGCGTCAACACCATCCTCACCATCCTCACGGTCCTCACCATCCTCACGGTCCTCACCATCCTCACCGTCAACACCGTCAACAAGCATCTCAATATCCGTGAATTACATGGGAGACACCGGCATGAACAGACGATTGCTTCTCATACTGACGGGTCGCCTGTGATCCTGTTGTCTCTATTCGCTAAGACAATACTGTATGTATGCTCTTTCTTCCCGTGTGGTTTGAGGATTTCCACGTAGTGGCCTCCCTTATATTGAAATTTCAGTGACGGGGCTTACAAGCTCTATCTCTACATAGGACAAGTCAGAATCGAGAATTTATCTTCATTGCAATGCTATCGACTTCCCCCATGGTTCGGGCTACATGGTCCGGGCTACATAATGTACCCAGAGATGAGTCGTGCAGATCTTGGCTTCTTCAAGCGCCGCAGCGGCACTTGAATACTGGTCCCTAGCACCACGGAGAGGTGCCTGCATGTCGCTAGAGGATCATGGTGTAGACCCTGGCCCCAGGTCTTACCCGATCGAGCACGCTTTTACAAACACAGGGCTCATTGTCTGTGAGGGAGGATGTTGGTAAAGCAGAGCTCAAGCTGCGAGGATTTTGTCATCACAGACCCTAGACTGCGGAGTTCACTTCGTGACGCAGCGCCCCCCTGCGAAGCACAGTTGATCTCGCAGAGCTTATCCTGCGAAGCGCAGGCTGTCCTGCAAAAGAGTGCAATTCTTACTTCACTGGGCTCATACCAGCGAAAGCCAAGACTTAGAAGCCAAGGTCTGCAGGCAGACAACACGACCACGCTGTCTTGGGGGATGAGGATGGGAGTTCTGATTTTCTAGACCGGTCATGGAGCGTCCTTTTATGCCTTTTCGCCTCCGGCCGCTCATAGCTGCCAGGTATGCAAAATCTATGGAAGACATGATTTACTGCGGTGTAAACATTACATTTTTGCTGCTAGTGGAGGTGATTCAACAGCCGTTGAAGGATGTGTTTAGAGTATGCGGCCAATCCCACCAAGCGCCCCACTTCGAACCGTGGCGTGTATGAATCTAGACTGGGCCATCCTTGGAACCATCTCTTGGCGGTTGCAACTCAGATGTTTACGGTGAACCACCTTCAACGGTCGTTGAAAAGCGTGTTCAACCGAGCGTTGAGCAACATCGGTTGCGTTTGAACTGGCAAGACCAAGATCCTCCCGGTTACGTGGCCGGCGTAGATGACTATACAGCTACTTGCGGTCCAATTGTGGGTTTGGCGTCCTCTCCTTTTCATGACTGTTATCAGTATATGCTACTTTTCTCAGTGCATCTTGGCTGACTGACTGGCTTGCTTAAAGGTCAAATTTTCAAAAAGTCTACCAGACTAGGTCTTCGTCCCTTACACTACGGAACGCTGGGACAGAACAATGCCGAAGATAACAGGGCGACATCGAAGACGAGAATTGTCTGGTGGAAAATGCGTCAAGAGGATGTCGCGGCCGGGCCAGGACATGACTTTGTATCAGACATCTCCGCTCGCCCGCGTGCTTTCACGACCGGAAACCACAAGGTGAGTACGAACATGGCTTCTTCTTCAACCTAGACGCTCTCTAATACACTTCGTATAGAATGCTCAGATGTTTCGTCCGTTCCCTGCAAGAAAAACCCGTGTCCGGTGAGAACACAAATTCGGATAATGCCAACGTCTTTGAACTGACTGTTGACCAGAAGTACTCTACGCATTATATTCTCTCCTCGGGATACCAGCGGGCCGGGTTCCGCTTCCGGCACAGCATAGGATTCTTCAGTCAATCCAGCGGCATCTCGAGTATCATGCATTTTGGTATGTCGAGCGGTATTTCCTCTCGGAATCGGTACAAAATGGGTGGACATGCCCTGAGGCTTTGGAACTACACAAGCTATTTCAATTTCTCAATCGACATCGACGCGCACCGCAAGCGGAATCTTCGGGTCCAGCTGTCTGCGATATCCAAGGCTGGCGACGTTCTATCTCGGCTATTCGCCACGCGGCGGTCCATCGTCTCGCACAAGATCGACAATCGCTTCTGCGGATGACTCGAGCAGCCATCGGTTTTGTTCAATGTATGAGTGGCTCCTCTCATACCCAAAGTCTCCGGCGTCTCAGGAAATACCTGCGAGTCGCGCTTCCAAGGCCATCTCGACGATCTGTCGTTCCACGGCGACAGGCAAGGTTCCAGACGTGCCGAGTAGAGAATGGGCTCAGTCACTCGTCGCACCCTTCCATCACATTGCCAGAACCCCTGCAAGGAATTCTTCACCTTGTAGAGAACGATTTCTCCCACGAGGTACGACAATTTTTAGAGGAAGAATTTGAATGAGAAGCGGCAACAAATCCTGGTATGGCCGAGTTCTGGGTCGTTGAGCTCTGCTATCAAGTCGGACCCGGGCAGTTATTGCCATCATATCATCACGGACAGGTCCACGTATACCTCGAGAGAAATTAATATAAAATCACGAGGTTGTGGCTGTATTTAGTACTTTAATTTCCAAGACCGGCGTACTCGTTGCACTTGGAAACTCAAGTACGCATCCAAGAAGTACGAAGTAGCTTAAACAAATACGAGTGCCATTTCTCTGAGTCCGATTGCCATGGCCTATGCTCACTACATTACTGTTAGAAATATGCCGAATGCAATTTAATGGAGAATCAATGCTCTGACTCTGCATCCAATCGTGGGCCGCATAATCCGACGCATCGTACAGATTTTGGAATAATCCCCCTGAATAGCGGAATGATACTACAGCAGTTCTTTAGTGCTGTTTAGCCCTGAAATTAAATTCTCTGTTCGCTCTGCCTAATTGACAATCTGGGGGATGCCATACTATTGGGAACCGCACGAGACCCGGATGTCTTTCACTGCGGATTTGACTTTGCAAACAGTTCTGCGTACCATGGATCGTACATCTGAGAAAACTATTTCGAACACGGGGTGGGCGGGTAGGGCTCACCGTTGAACGTCGACGGTTAACCGTTAGGATGCTTCAACAGTCGCCATATCCAAAAAGTTCGCCCCCGTGAACGGTCGCTGCGTACTCGATACGCCTCAAATAAACACTGAACGAAATCTGGGCTGCTTGCAGGTCATACAAAAACGACAAGTTCTCAATTGGGTATGCATCGTCTCTCACACCATGAATTGTCATATTGAAGTCAGGGTGATCTGTGACTGGCTAATGGACTAAAAAGGTCACTGATGAGTAATTTCCGATGAGATATGCTGTGGGAAGACTGAAAAGTACTAAACGTTTTCCTTTGGCTCCACAGTCTGTGATGTACGTATTTGGATGTTATGGTCTATACAAAAACCCCTTTCTGACCGGTGATCACCAGGTTGTTGAAACGGACTGGGCAATCAACTTATTTCGGAAGTGATGAAAGTACGGCACCGGTTGGCATCTTAGCTCTTAATGGTGGCCGCTCGTCTATAAATCCCCATCAAATCCCACTACTGTCTCCCATCAATTTAGGTCTCGCATTCCACCTCACTTTCCCATAGTTGTGATACAGCAGTCATACTGTGGGAATCCTACTACTATAGACTTAATGCAGCCAAACAATCTCCCCAACAATGTCGTTGGAGAGCTTGATCAAAACAAAAATCTCCAACATAAACCAGATCATCATCAAAACCAAAGGGATGACAGAAAAACACTCTTCTTTAGCATCTCTTCGTCATATGTCCCAGACTGGGATACTCTGGCCGCGTTCAGGGAGCTCTATCAGAATTGGTCAGTTCTTTGTTGCCATCTCCTAAACACGTGCCTAGAGACAAGATCTAACTAAAAATAGGAGAGATGCCATCTTGGCACGTTTCAACTTAGGTCGTCTCGACTTTCAGCCATTTTATGAAGATAGAGGCGATTGTATAGCGATCATCGTCCCTGATCTCTCAGATCGACATCGGCAGGGTCGTGCTTTAGGGTTCATTAAGTACGACAAGCACAGCGGTTGCGTGACAATCTCCAACTCCTGCGCTGAACTAAGTCTCAACGCACTTGAACTCGGCAGCTCATCGAAGCAACATGATTCCAACTCTGCCGGCTGTCATAGAGAGGGTCTGAAGCTGGCGGCTCTGGTGATGGTGCGCAGTGGATTCGATATGGAATTATCTGCTAGCAGGAGCCACTAGCGTTTTGGCCTCTTGCAATCTCATTTCTTCTGCGACATCAAGCCTTCCAATCATTCCAGCCCCAATAGCTCTGATCCAAGTGGCGACATGTTTCGACTCTGTTCTTGTGTAGATAGGGATGTGACGGTGGAGATCCGAGCTCCAAAAGAATCGCAAAAAAACGCTGTGTCACTCGCAGAATTTCGTAGTTAGCTGACAGTCACGCTCGACATTCGAAGGTTTTCCCACCCCTTAGATGTTCTAGAAACCGAGGTTGGAGATCTAATTCTCGACCCCGATTTCCACAGCCGGGTCTACCTTAAGGGAATGCGGCTGCCGCGCTCTGGGTCGGAACTTAAGCAGTATAAATTTGCTTACAACTTCTTGCATAGAAAGGTGAATCGCGACCGACAGATTTTGGTCGATCGAGATAAGGAAGCTAACATAGTGCGACGAATCTGGGAAGCCGCAATTCGGAAACATCGCACCGCTTTTCTTCCTATCTACGTTGGTCTCCTACGCAATTCCCCGGAAGCACTCGATGTTGAATCAGCTACCTATTTTCTGTAATCATCGACTAAGCTTCTCATCTAGAAGCATCTTCTGGGCGAGGCTGGCGATAACAAATTTTTCTACAATAAAGGCTCCAGTGCCGAGGTAAGTTTCCTTTAACAGGGTATTGTGTGGCGCGCAGCTCACGGAAAAATAGAGCATCGTAAGCATTCGAGAAATCCTAGAGAGACAGCCTATCAAGCTTCCAGAATCTCTATGGACTTTGTTGCACTCTTGTTCGCCAATCCGGACGCCAAAGGAAGAACAGATCGAGTGTTTCAAAACGGCAGAGGTATATCCAGTCCCAGGGACCAGCTACGCACAAACCATACACAGGGCCTTTATAGCTTACATAGCGATCCTTCTGGAGGGCAGAAAGATCGAGGTACAGTATATACGTGCTAAACGCAGCGCAATCCAGGCGCTCTATAACTCTCACTCCAGGGTCTTAAAGGTTGCTCACCAGTAGCTGGACTTTGTTAGGTCGCACGGACCGGTCTTTTGTCGCGAAGTTCTGTCATCAAGATTCGACGCGCAATCATTTTTCTGCAATCACGTCAACTTCCGCGATAGCGTCTTCTTCTGCGACCATATTGTCGAAGAGTTGCTGAAATTTTGCCTGGTTCCGTTGCTGGGGCGGTCCGCTACATCCAAAGCCGCGGAAGTGGTGATTCTACGGAGAATTCGAAGATTGCTTCGGCACGTGCCGCATTCAATCACCATGTCCAGGTCGTTCTTGGCTGGGGCGTTGAAGATTACGTAGGAAGACAACGAGACGGAATCATTCCGTAAACGCTCTATGCATAACCCACCGTATCACGTAGTCCTCCATGAAGAGAAATGTAGTGGTGCGAGAACGGACCTGATTCATGGCGATGCAAGTATGTGGTTTTCCTTCCCTCACAAACTTCGATTACGTTGTTAATTGCTGACTCAGGCGGACCCAGTAAACTGTGCTGCGGAGCGTGCTTCATGCGGATGCCCTCAAAAGTTTGTCAACCAGAAAACAAAGACAGCTGTTTTTGAAAATCTCCAGTGCTCAAAACGTTATTTCCCAATGATCTCTTTGAATCGGCCGCAAGCCATCTATAGCTTTCCACCCCTGTCAAAGTATCCTGCATCGTCGAATCGTCGTATTTTTAGTAAGAAGAAGGGCGGTGAAGTTGTACCATCCCCCAAAGACTTACGTCCATTAGCCTCGGACCAGGCTTCGTATACAGCCCTAGACGCTTTGAACACCACGCCAAGGCATAGTGGGTCCGATCATCATGATCACAAACTCTCGCTGTCGGTTAAACGGCCTTTCTCAGATGAGCCAGATCCGGCGAAGGTTGAGGGTTGCAAAAAGTTGAAAATTTCTCAACTAGTGGAAAATCCTGCTCAGCGTTAGAACGCATTCCTTATCCAACATCCCCTGTTTTTTATCAGACTTGAAATCGTTTAGTCGGCGAGACCGGAGTAACGGAGCCGGAAATTCGAATTCGAATTGATGCTAGAACAGTCAACCGTTGGTGGATTTGTAGGATACGGATCGCTTTCACCCTCGGACTTCACAGGCGACCTGCAATACTTTGTCTTCGGAAGGTGGAATTGTTCTTCCAACCAGGAAATTTTGAAGAAGGATCAAATATCTTTTTCTGCAGGAGTTTCGAGCATTAAGCTGAGGACCGCTAAGTGCTAATCTCAAGACCTATATTAAATCAAGACCTTCTCTTCAGCTCTTAGATTCCGCTGTCTACTAATAATTGCATTCGGCGTCTTATGGCTGCCTATACCACTGTCATCGATAGAGGATTCCGACGCCTGAAACGAATGAGAGACAACCAAGTCAGCGAAGAGATCATGGATTTCCTCGAAAAAGCCCATTCGGATCTCAAGTGTAGTGGCATTTCTAACCCATCGGGCCCATTTAAAAGGTCTCTTATTCATTATGCAGCTATGGGTGATTGCAAAGAGCTTTTGCTTCAACTATTAGCAATTCGCACACCAATAAATTATCGCGATGGAGACAAAAGAACGTCTCTTTCCTGGGCCACCCAATATGGCTCGTATGTTACCGCGAGAATTCTGGTGGAGAACAGAGCCAATGTCAATGCATTGGATAAAATGTACTTGACCTCTCTTTCACGACTCTTGCAAGGCGACAAGGTTGAGACAAATGATCACCAAGCTCTAAAGCTGTTTCTTGAGAAGAACGGAGCAACTAGAAAGGGTACAAAACGTGCTTGGATAATGAGGAGGATTGGGCTTCTTTGACGGTAAAAAGACATCAGAAGCACTTCTCATGTTATACCGGAAAGATTCTCGGATTTTTGGTCCGAGAGCTTAAGTATTTTATGTAGTATCAAATCACCCACTACCTGGACTTTATACAGGATTGGTACCCCTACCTAGCCATATGCAAGTACGGCATAGTCATACGATCCATGTTTCCCTCTCGTCAAGCGGGTCTGATACGAGTCTCGATTGGAAATTGTCATTTACGATCATCACAGACTGTTCTGAAGCAGATAAATTAATATTAGTACTTAAGCAGAGTGCTTACTGTATCGATCTTTATTTTAGTTGCTACACGCTGGCAAGAACCTCTCAAGCCTCCCATCAATTTTATGTTTCACCGTCACTTACCTCAAGAAATGGATTACAACATCCGGTCCAGGCCAGTTAAAAAGGTTGCCCTCCAAGAAAGACAGCTCAGCTCGATGTAGCGGCATCACAGAGAAAGCATGATTCTGCGCCGCTGGTCGAAATTTTGGCCACCTCATATAAAGTCATCGGAGTGGGAAATGGCATTCGCGACAAGTATTTATACAGACGGCCTCTCCTTCGCCCAATCTGTCAGCTTGAGCCAAAAATTCAATTTTTTCTCTCTCCCTAGCTCGCCGTTAGCTCTACTATGACGGAAAGTACATTCCAGGCTAATGTGGTGTTCGATTTCGCCGCAATTCAGGCTCAGGCGCACGCCTCAACAACAGTTAATGGTTCCGCCATCAACTCGGGTAGTAAGTGGATAACAAAAAGAGAAAGTCGCCTATCTTGTCGCGCGCCCAGACCGAAAGTCGTTACTGGCCCCCGAAGACCCT